TGATTAAAAAGCTATCCAGCTTTGATAGTAACTTAATGAATACAATTGGACCCAATCGCACAGCAATCCACTCAGCTTCTCCTCTCAAGGAACGTCGGATGGCATGAGTATCCTGTTGATACTTGCCTTGTTGTTGTAATAAGTAACTTCGTATCTCCATAATTCATACGATGTTTCACTCTTCCTGTCTCCTGAAAATACCAATACCCTTAATTCATGTAGTGGTGTGACAGATATATGGAATCCTTGGCCATGGACATCATTGCATGTGATGATGTCAGCTCTTCCTTAACAGGATATCCACCCAGCGAAGCGGTAAAGTCCGTCAATCCCTTTGAAAAATCTTCAATTGTGTCATCCTTGGGCTTGACGTTTAAAGTCTCAAAGGTCCGTACTATGTTTTGAACTTCTGTGAACTCCATATTTACACAAAACGACAAAATGCACGAACTTCTGCGCAATACATAGATTGAATGAGCAAAACGGATCTATTGAGTAATAATTAAGTGTAATTTGAGTAAATTTATAAGGTTCAGAATTCAAGAAATGACAGATATGTATGCATGCATGCATGCATGTGTGCGTGCGTGCATGCATGCATGCATGCATGCATGCATGCATGCATGCATGCATGCATGCATGTATGTATGTATGTATGTATGTATGTATGTATGTATGTATGTATGTATGTATGTATGTATGTATGTATGTATGTATGTATTAATGCACGCATGCACGCACGCACGTACGTACGTACGTATGTATGTATGCATGTATGTATATGGGAAGTTAAGAATGAATATTTCAAAAATAAGGATTGCTCTACAAGAACCATCACTGTGTTGCCAATAGTGAATATGATACCAGAATCTTGCATGAATATACGGGTGATTTGGTACTGTTGGTACGCATACCTTGTCCACAAGTAGGGCACAATCTCAGCAATTGACAAGCACTTTTCCGCTGTGAACCTTGCGTTTTCAAATGTTGGCAACAGTTAGGGCTGATAAACGTGCGATGAAAAGCTGGGCAATGCACTCGTTCTTGCCCTTCGTCAAGACAGTTTTAGAGGCCAAACATCTTGAGCATCTCGATCCACAATGTTTGAGTTGCACTGGATCGTAAGAGCCATAGTCACATTTCTCACAATATCTGTATTCCAGGAATTCAGTGATAGGCCTACTGGTAATGGCATCGAAATGTTCATCGTGATGATTGACGTGAATGTATTTTCCGTCTTTGAAATTTTTGCCACGAAACAAGAGACGCACACTTCTTGATGGTGTATTTTCAAGGTGTAGCGTGGCTCTAAGACATCTTGCAATATTTTGCATTTCAAGAATTCCACAGTATGTGTCTTAGGATAGCCCAGTTTTCTGTAACATAAGTTCTGTTTATCTTCGTTGTTTGGCTCGTTGCTATCGTTGAATAGCTTTCCGGGAGCATTTCCATTCTTCCGTGTCGTTCTTGTCTGCATACGTTCGTATCACCACGATCGCACGGGCTAAACACAGCTTGTCTTTAGAGTTGTTAATTTGGACGATACTATTTTCGTGCTGCGAAGGTCGTCCACTAATAACATGTTTTTGCGTCGGGTCCCTTGGGGAAGAGAAACTTGGTTCATGAACAGTGTCGCTTTTTCTTCGGTGCCGTGAAAATATTGTTGGATTGTAGCGTGTGTTGAATCTTGTCGATAACTTTGGAAGGTGTAAGTTCTGATGGGCTGCTAAACTTTATCCAAACGGGTGAGTTCAAACTGAATGAAAAGTCTCAAACGATCATCTTCTTTGGCTTCACACTGCCGTTTCAGTATGGTTAACAAAGAATCCCACATATCGGTGATGACTTCTGCATTCTCCAACGGTACATCGGACTGGAAATCTTTAACTTCACCATTTACGTGTAGACCTTGGTTCTAAGAGTTTTATAGGAGCATTTGTTCATTTGTTGAATACTTTAGGTACTTTTAAGGGTTTACTAGTGGTAGTGAACTTGGGTTTGGAATAGACTCTCTGGGTATGGATTCTGGTACACTCATGTCATCTTCAAAGTTTCTGAAATGGATTTGAGCTACTTCAGCTACTGTACGAGGTGATAGGTCACGTTTATGTCTCCAACTTTTTTCTCATTTCTCCACGATATGATGGCCCAAAAATAAACGTACGATATAATGGTACGGCATATTTTCTTCTCGACCTGCCTTTTTTAGTCATGAGTTTCTCGAAATCGGCTTGATGAATTTCTTTAAAACTTTCTCTGCTGTTAGAAAGGGATCTTTTGTGGACACTATACAAGAGGCATTGAAATCAAATGTGTCTAAGTAAGGGTTCCATGAAATCAAACTATGGATACATCGGATTCACATTATCGCGTTTTGCACAGCCGGTACCCCTAAAGCGCCTCTTATTAGGCTGTTACGTCTCCAGGAAATTCGTCAGGACATCCTTCGTAGGTGGACTCTGTCTCCTAGTGGAATCGGTACACAATTAATAAAATCCGGTTCAATACCCACGAATGTAGTCCCAGTCTATTTTTAGATCACTTTTTCCGGTCTAAATTTGGTGGTGATACTAGAGTTAGATTTTGGCATTCTTGGTAAGGATTTAAAGGCAATTGATTATTCTTTAAAATGTGAGCTTATGGTGTGGTTGTCTCTGTGTATTTCGGCGACAGTGCACATTGAGTAATAAGGTCATGGTGATGATCCGGAAGTGAAATCTGTGTTCCGTTGCCTGGTGTTTTGTTTACAATTCAGCCTCTCAAAAAAATGCAGGTCAACCCTTGACAAGAACTAAACCGTAAAGTCATCTTTGAAGGTATTTTAGATTAACATATGATTTGTATTGATTGTCACACAGTGGAAAGTTCAGTACTGAGGAACAAATGTAGAGAACATATAGTAAAATTAATTGTGTACTATGGCCTAGTAATAAAATATCCACGAAGTGTCCCTTTATAAAGAGTGGACGTAATGGCCCAAATGTAAACGTACTATAAAATAGTGCGGCATATTTTCTTCTCGACATGCCCTTTTTAGTCACGTGTTTCTCGAAATCGGCTCGACGAATTTCTTTTAAACTTTCTCTGCTGTTAGAAAGGGATCTTATGTGGACACTAAACAAGAGGTATTGAAATCAAAATTGTGTAAGTTAGGGTTCCATGAAATCAAGGAATTAATACATCTGATTCACATTTTCATGTTTTTCATAGCCGGTACCCTAAAGCACCACTTTTTTGGCTGTTTACACAGGAATTTTCCAAGTAGATAGTTTCTTTTCTTTACATTGGTTATATTTAACGCCTTGAAAATCTACAATTCTAACACTATTTACTCAGGAATGTTTTTTCTTGCGGTACATCAATTTGTAATTCCTCATTACGCCTGTATCCTTGAACCATATCTACCTTCATAGGAACAATTTCGAGCCCGAATACTAATCCCTAACGACATGCATACAAGACACGAAACAAATGACTATTTCAAATTACCAAACACGTAGTCCTATTAATATCCTAAACCATTACGGGGTATCCACCGTGATCTGTCTATATTCAGCTTTATGTATCACTCGTATTTCACCGATCAGGTAAGAATTACACCAATGCTAGCTGTATGGAGCTTTCAACTGCATTAATTAAGTTGTAACCAATTACATACTGAATTGGGAATAATAAATAAATAAAAATCTCTTTGTGAATAAGGAATAAGTATTCAAATATATGTGAGAATGTTTGACTCGGGAATAAGTAACTGGTTACTTATTCCTTATTGAATCGGGAATAAGGAATAAGGAATAAGTAACCAACTTGATTTCAGTTGCTTCTTCTACCTGTCGTTTCCTTCTTCTTCTTCTTCTTCTTCTTCTTCTTCTTCTTCTTCTTCTTCTTCTTCTTCTTCTTCTTCTTCTTCTTCTTCTTCTTCTTCTTCTTCTTAATGTTTAAGAGTACCGTCACCGTTTGACTTTGACTGTTACCATTCTCTTCTAGAGCTTGTTTCTTCTCTGCTGCTTCTTCTACCTGTCGTTTCCGTCTTCTTCTTCTTCTTCTTCTTCTTCTTCTTCTTCTTCTTCTTCTTCTTCTTCTTCTTCTTCTTCTTCTTCTTCTTCTTCTTCTTCTCGTTGTTGCTGTTGAAGGAGAAAAGCTTGTTCTGCTTCTTTATGCTGCAGTAAAAAATTATCTAATTCTTCTTTTTGCCCCAGTTTAAAACTCTCAACGTGTGGTAAAGAAGGAAAAGGTGGCGAAGGCGCTGGTGCCGAACAAATTCTTACGAAGAAGAGAGAAAATGCACCAAATCCCAATTAAAATCGACCGATTCTGGAAGCAGACCGGTATTGGCTCTGGTAGTCGCTGCTATACTATCGCTTCTCGTCTGCATCTGGTGCATCCCAATTCAATGTCTTCTTAATTTCCGTTATTGCTGTGGTTCCTCTCAAATTTGTCATTATAGAAGGGACCACCTAATGCCGAAAGTAGAAAGGATTTTATTTGTTTTTGTTTCCCCAATATGCATTTGCTATTTGTATTTAATTTATTGAATTTCGTTTTTATACATTTTGTTCTAAGCTTTGTATATCATCCTAATTTGTTGTCGATTACTCCTTGACCTTGGTCTTGGAGTTTTATTTTTTTTATTGCAAGTGATCCTTGCTAGGAATAGGTGCTATCCTATGTATGCTATCTGCATGTGCTATTGGTTTTGTATGATATATTGTGTTTGTGTTAGAAATGGTTAAAGGTCAAATTATTAGAGTTAGTTTTTAATGGTTTCATAATACTTTACTGTGTGCCATAAGAAGAAACAGGAATTTAATAGATGAGAAGATTTTAGAAAAGATTGTGGAAAAAAACGTTTTTATGGTGCTGGTTTATGTTTGTGTCGTACCTATATATATATATATATATATATATATATATATATATATATATATATATATATATATATATATATATATATATATATATATATATATATATATATATATATATATATATATATATATATGAACCGCTCCTGTGGCTTAGTGGTTAGAGCGTCCGCCTCAGCAGCGGGAGGTTGTGGGTTCTATCCCCGGTCGAGTCATACCAAAGACTTACAAAAATGGTAATAACAGCTGCCTCGCTTGACGCTCAGCATTAAGTGGTTAGTGATAGGACTGATCAGCCTGGTGTCAGGATAATGTGATTGGGTGAGACATCATGCTACATGTCTGCGGCATGATACCCTAGTGCTATACATAACTATAAACTGCCACACTGTAGACATCGTAGCGATATGACTGAAAAATTGTTAAAGCTACGTTAAAAATCTCTCTCTCTCTCTCTCTCTCTCTCTCTCTCTCTCTCTCTCTCTCTCTCTCTCTCGTTTCGTGTTTTTTTTTTTGTTTTCGTTCTATTCTTTTAGCTGGCCTAATTTCTTTTTGGGAAGATCCGGTACGAGTCGTACTACCGCACGTTAATCACGAAGCTTTAGCCTCTCACCTTTTGGATCTCTCTGTTTAGGAAGGACATTTCTCTGTTTTTGTGTATATGTTGCTACTATATTTGTGAATAGAAAAAGATCTCACAGGTATAACTTAGACTGATTACAACTACTATCTATTCAAATATTTAGTTATTAAAATCCACTTTTGTTTTCATAATCTTATTGATGTAAGAAATAAAATTATTGTAAATTCCCCTATTAGTATATAGTAGTTGTTTGTTATCTATTTTGCTGTATTTAATCTAATTTTAGTTTTCAATTTCGGTCATGTTTCAAAACAATTTCGCATAAATTCACTGCTAACAGACGCTAGCGCACCTATATATGGAAAGTTACATCACATGCAGCTGTCTTCGGATTAGAAGACCGACATCGCTCTGTGACTGACTTTGGTAAATCGTGTTTAGATTGGTGAGATAACTCAATCCATTTTGATCCGATCTTCCACTATAATTAACCGCAGTTCTCTTCATTCTCTTCACAAGACGTGGACAGACTTAGAATTAACTACTCTCGTATCGTTGATGCTGTTCCGCATGGACTTACCCATGTATATCGGATCATCATGGACAATCATCAAGATCACCGATACGAGCTTTGGAAAAAGAAGTACCTATGTTGAGAACCAAAGCTGTCTGTAACAAGTCTTAATCTGCGGAATAGAGGTTAGACAAAGTTTAAGGAAGAAAATATATATATTCAGACTTTCTCTTCCATACTGCCACTTCATTTCTATATCATCGATAAAGCGTACCCACTGGTATGGTGTACGCTCAACCGATGCTAAGAGCTTTCCCTCAAGTTTTCCCATGAAAATGTTAGCATACGAAGGGGACTTTTAGGGAATTATACAACGTTTTCAGTTTCCGCAACTAGTCTATAAAAGCTGGTTGTATTTATAGTTTTAGCACATGTGAAGATAGAAATGAAGAGGTTTACAAACACAACGTTTTTGTGTTTATTTATTTGTCGTAACTATGTTTTGTATTTGCCTTTGAAAAAGACTCATTAAGAGTCGAAAGCGCTTAGGCTAGTTAGTTACTAGTTTCGTACTGTTCGTCGTCAGTTTATTGCATCTATTTTAATTAATCCCTGACAAACGTGATCCCTTGGTGGATCCAGTACGCTTGAGAGGGTTGTTATTCGCCATATGATTTGTATTCTTTATATATATATATATATATATATATATATATATATATATATATATATATATATATATATATATATATATATATATATATATATATTCCCTCTATAGTAACATAATGGTGCTAACAAAAGAATAAAGACAGCTTTTCAGGGCCACTCATTTGCCTCAAAAAGAAATATGTTCTTTTACCTAAAATTGTTTTAGTCGATTTAGTATTTCATGTGTGATAGATTGATGTTCATCAGTCTATGGATATCTTATATATGTCTATGTCTCTACTGTATTTGTCCCTACCTAGGGTAGCGCGTATTCAGGTCAAATCCTTGCAACATTGTTGCCAATGTCTAGTACCGAGACGTCGCCTCACCTGTTCCATTCGTATGTCCCTATACAAAACCCAACATTTTGTCTTGTCGCAATTGTGTCACATAGTGGTTTGTGGGGTGTGTGGGATGGGGGGTGTGTCTTTAAATGCTAATACCCCTTGTCGCTATAAATTTTGTCGCCAAAGTGGACCGGGGTGGGTGGGTTTTGTAATGCTTAATCCCATTGGCCCCATTCACTATTAGTAATACGAAGATAGAGGATGTCTGATATGTGAAATAGAAATAGAAAACGCGTATCAGCTTATTGTGATATCTATTTATGTTGGTCTATGGAGAAAGTATATACTTTAACAAGAAAACCCCATGGACTACAACTTTCGTTTCGTGGTTTAATATATCGTTTCATTAAAGTTTATGTTTTCATTTTGAATACTTGGCGGGCTTTGTAGTGCCATCTATCGTTTTAGTTTTGGGTCACGTGATTTCTCATGCGCGCGTGTATATATATATATATATATATATATATATATATATATATATATATATATATATATATATATATATATATATATATATATATATATATATGGGACAACTGTGGCTGCTATGGTGGTGTGCTAGGAAGCGGCATAGAGTGAAGACGTCACCTGCAGTGTAGCAGTATAACTATCCCACCAGTCGGCGACCAGAAGAAGACCCAGTCTGCGACCGTACGATCAGAGGGAGACCGGTCGCCGACCCTGCTACAAGTCGGCGAACCTGCGACACAGTCGGCTAACCTTCGACCACTGTTGTTGTTGGGCTTAACGCCATTTTACAGCACACGATAGGCTATTCATGGAGGCCAGTATTAATGGTGGAGGAAGAAACCGGAAAATCACCGGAAAGAACCACCGACCCACGAGAAGCTACTGGCAAGCTTTCTCACATATCCACATTCGCCGAAACCTAGACTCGAACCCACGCAGACAGAGGTGAGATGGCAGTGATCGGTAACGGACAGCGCTTTAGACCACACGGCTACTCGGGGCCCCTAACCTGCGACCAAGTCAGCAATCAAGACCGCGACATGTCTGCTACCAGTGGGCGACCGAGACTATAACAGTCGACGACTCTGCGACAAGTCGGCGACTTCGGCCAGTCGCCGACCCTGCGACTAGTCTGTGACTAAGTCGGCGATACCCAAGAAGCGATGAATAAGACGGTATCCCGCTGAGGAAGGAATCTGTCACCCTCTGGAGTGCCAGTCATGAGACAGATTCTGCAGGGTATCACTCCAACTATAAGATCTATCATAAAGAACCCGATATAGCGAGACTGAGCTGTGTATCTGAGGGAGTGTTCCGCCACAATACTCTTGAATATTGACAAAAATCAAAAGGTCCACTCATAAATACATACACGTATTGCAAATTATCTGCAATTGTGAAACACAGCTACACAACTAGGTACGTAATAAATTTGACAGCTATAATAATTAACGAAATACCAGCATGCACGAATAGGCATTATTTACAAAGTACGATGTGTTTGTAATTAGTAGTATTAAACCAAATAACTGTCATCTATAAAAGGATGTACCGTATAATAAATAACAATACAAAGGATTCGTCGTCATCATCATCATCATCATCATCATCATCATCATCATTATTATTATTATTATTATTATTATTATTATTATTATTATTATTATTATTATTATTATTATTATTAATGGAAAGTGTTTGCTCACTCGATGATTGTATTACACCAGTAAAGTATGCATGAAGAAACTTTGCTTAGTTTTTACAGGCACACAGTCCAAGTGTGATTCTAAACATCGCAGCAATTTAATACAAACATTACGAATTTTCCTGTTATCAGGTTAAAAAAAATTTTCTAACGTTTTGGTATAAATTTAAAGAACAGCGACTATTTCATATGCCCCATGTTCCGAACAGGGTATTTTAATAACACATGATGAAACGTCTTCAGTTTGTAGTTTGAAACAGTTTCAGTCTTTAAATTGATGGGAAATCTGCTGGTGTCTGAATCTCGTAAAAGATCCATGATGCATTTATAAAATGTGGAGTTTGCAAAGTTGAGTTTGTACGAGAAAACTATCAAAGCCCGTAAAGAATATGAATGAGCATAAGAAATATGAACGGGTCGAATAGCACTAATACAACGCAGGGGACCTGCCATCAATCAAGCTTAATAATATAGTAGCCTTGTATGGGATCCTGTAAATTCTATAACCAACGGGTAATTTTCAATATCTACTCATCTTCAATTGCATACAAATTTCCCACGATTAAATTATTAAAGTTTGTAATAAATAAAAGTTTACTGATTTATTGCTATCTTGCTCATTGTTTCAGTGGATATATTACCTTTCTGAATAGTGTATACAAGGCAGTACTTTAACTTTTTATTAAGTTGGACCTGACAGATATTCTTTTAAATATCAATTGTTTTATTGCAATTATGCTTGATCATGTTTGCCTGGTGAATCTATTTAATTTAAAATAGCTTTCAATTTAAGTTGTTTTTATTTCATCAAAATATTGCGGTAGGCCTATATTATTGTTATTCGTGAAAACATTCTTTATATTAAATTCAAATAATGTTGGAAAATATAACCGTTCCGGTGGCCTAGTGGATAGAGCGTCCGCCTCGGATGCGAGAGGTCGTGGATTTGATACCCGGTCGAATCATACCAAAGACTTACAAAAATGATACTAACAGCTGCCTCGCTTGATGCTCAGAATTAAGATGATAGTATTGGGACTGGTCGGCCTGGTGTCATGATTATGTGACTGGGTGAGACATCATGCTACAAGTCTGCGGTGTGATACCCCAGTGCTAAGTAGTAGATGAAAGTAAGAATCCGAGCTCAACAACCCCCTCCAGACCACCAAACAAATACAAAATACCTAGGTAACGTAATAGAAAAGCTATTGCAATCAATAATTGCGTTAAGAATCCGAGCTCAACAAATACAAAATACCTAGGTAACGTAATAGAACACCTGTTGCAATCAATAATTGCGCTAAGAATCCGAGCTCAACAACCTCTCTAGACCTCCAAACAAATACAATAGAACACCTGTTGCAAAATACCTAGGTAACAGGTAAAATTTAATTACGTGATTTGCTAGAATAAGCAAAATGATGTGTCGGACTTACCCGGCTGTATAAAATATGGACTGACGCATCCGGAGATGGAAAATTTCCAGGAGGGTTAGCAGGTACTCAAGCGGGTCAAAATTTAACAAAAAAAATAAATAGCATCAACGAAAAGTTAAAAGAAAAACGGCAAACGTGTAAAAGTTTACAGACCAAGCATGATGAAATAACCAGCAAAGCTCTCAAAATGAAAAATGAACTAGATGTACGGCAAGAACTGATCAACAAACTGACGTGTGAGATACAACGGCGAGATCATGTCGTACAACTGTACGAAAAAGCAGTAAATGAAGTTTGCGACGTTGAAGAGACCATTGCCAGGTTAAATACCACCATCGAAGATAATAAAATAATCATAGATGATTTAACATCAACGATAAATGAACAACATGAAGAAATCAGCCGACTTGAAAGAATCAGCGCAGACAACAAAGTTGTCATGGAAACGCTAGCGTGGGAATCGTTAACGATTCCACCAAAGAAGAAATCTGTTGAACAAATACTTACTGAGGCGTTACTGAAACCTAAAGATCACTCGTAAAACCACTAGTGGTTTCAATTGCTTGGAGAACCTTTGGTTCAAATTCTCAATCATCAGTGATTTTCAATGTTTTGTTGATCAGTTCGTTATACGCGTACGGGTAATATTCACCATCTGGTTCACTTTTGATAAATTTTTGGTGAGTTTTGCGAAAATTATTGTTTAATGCTGCTTTTCTCGTTATGCTGTACAAGTAAGGATAATATTCTCCATCTAGTTCACTTTTGATGAGTGATTTATTGGCGTTGATGTAGTGGTTGAGCAGATCTCTTTCTCTTTTGATAAATTTATCAGGGAGATCTATTACGTCAATATCATCTACTGGTATATACCCTGGAGAAGTATATAATTGCATAAGATTTTCAGCATGTTTCATCTGAACTTCTCGGAGGATTTCATGGAGATCACTTGAAAATTCGGTCATTATATAATATAAAAAAAATTTATATATCTAATTGATTTTATGTTATATCATACTTCTTTTGATAGTCTTTCTCATATTTGCTGATCCTCATGGGTATAATATCTGTTAACATGTTGTCAATAATACGAAATTCACGTATTAAATCGTCCATACTATATTTTACTCCTCGTAGGTAAGATCTTATTTGATCAAGTAGTTTTTTGTAAGTTATAATTGATGTTAAGCAGCCGTGCTTTTTTTATCGAAATTTTAGGTTCAACTTTTTTACAAGCTGCTGTAAGAGAAACACCAACACCGGATATGATTAACAAAAACGGGTTTAATGATATACCACTTGAAATTATGCCAGAACTAGTCATTAACAAGGGTAGATATGATATTACTCGAAGTATTTTGTTATAATATTTGTAACATTTTTTTACGCACCAAAGTTTTTTGTGATAATATTTGTAGTATTGTATTAGTGCGTCAACATCCTGTTCTGGAATATCTTTTGAAATATGATTGAAATCAACTATACTTTTTTTCATTATAATATTTGTTCACATAATCTCAGGCTTGATTAAGTAACTAGTTGAGGTGTTTCAGCCACAAATTCCAGACAATACCAATATGACGCAGCAGTTAATTTTTTGTCATCTGCTATTAGCATAAAAGTTTCTTCAACATCTTTGTTTAACACAATAGACACGGTTCCAGAGAAATTATCAGTCGAGTGACGCCATGGAAATAATGTAAATATATTAAACTTTGCACTGCTAAACACGGACAATCTATACACACCAGTGACCTCTGCAGTATGTTTGAGAGTGTTATTTTGCGGCGACCAAGTAGACATTCCAGAAGCAACAGTATAAACAATATTTTTAATCTGCTAGTGAGGAATTTTAATCATACTCGTTTTCTCAACAATACTAGGAATTCCACTAATAATATCGTTGAGTTTTGTGTTAATATTATCGAGTGTAATATCAACAGACGGCGGACTTCCAAAAAAATCGTTATTGGTTTTGTTTATGTTTCTGCGAAAATTTAAAAACGTGGTGATGTGATTAGTAAAATCAGTTTTGAACTTGGTGATATCATTGTTGATATCATCAACATATTTCTTTGTTACAGCATCAAAATCAGATTCTGGTGTTCTAAGATTATTGATGCCATTATTGTTCATGTTGAGAAATGCACGCATTATACCGCCATGCATCGACACGTACTTTGATTCCTGATCATCAACATATTTCTTAGTAGCAGCGTCATTGTCCTCAGTTGGGTTTCCAAGGTATGTGATCTTGTTCTGGTTCATAGCAATGTTTCCCGTAAATAAATCACCTGCTTTTCTAACATAATCGTTAACTGACCTACCCGAATCTTCTATCTTACCTTGATTGTTAAAAGTAACAATATTATTAGCAACTGCAGTAGGATTTCGTACTAGTACATCTGATAGTTGTACATTACTCGTCTTTAATCGTCCTTGTTTGTCCTGGAAAACTACAACTTCATTTGGATCTACACTTGCAACGTTTAACAAATTGTTGATTTCATTTTTGAGCTTATCAAGAGTCGCATACTTGGATAAGTCACCCTGGTAACCTTCTGTTAATAAATCTACTGCTAATGTTCCAAATTTTGTATAGTAGCTCATTATACATACCGTTTTACACAAAATTGTTGGTTTAATATAACATAAAATTATACGATGGCGAAGATAATAAACTTTGACACCGAGCGATTGGTGAAGCATAAACATAACAATGAACTTCCAGACTGTCATTATCTTATTGTTGGGCGAACTGGATCTGGTAAAACAAATTTGTTATTAAATCTTTTACTCAATAATAACTTTAACTATGATAAGGTGTATATTTACACCATCAACCCCCAACAAGACAAATACGAGTTACTAAGTGAGTATAATGATAAACTTCGTGATGACCTTGGCATTGGTGATGATATATTTTTGATAAAACAACCAGAAGAACTCGTTCCAGTGAATGAACTCGATTCGTCAGAGCAGAAGATAATCGTCTTTGATGATATTCCGCTAAACAATGAGGAAATGAACAAAATTAGATCATATTTTTCACTATCACGTAATAAAAGATGCAATTCTGTTTATCTTGCCCAAGGTTTTTATAATGTTGATAGGTTTATTAGGCGAAATACGGGTTGTTTCATATTATTTCCCGGACTAGATAATGTGGATGTGAGAAATATTGCAAACGAACAATGTGGTGATGTTACAAAAGATAAATTTATTGAATTATATCATCGAGCAACTAAAGATAGATATAGTTTCTTTTTATTTGACAAGCTAGCGCGTGATCCAACCAAGATGTTTCGTTGTTGCCTTGAGACGTTTCTATGATATAATTTTGTAAAGCGTATAAAAATAATGGACAAACATCAACAGAAAATCGAATTACTAAAAAAGTTTCTCGAAACTCGAGCGGCTTTTAAGAAAAAGGTGGAAGAAGCTCGACGTGGACAATTGACTGCTACAGAAACAACAGCTACGATTTTCAGACCAATAACTGAAGCAATATTAGGTAAACAACCTGAAACTAAACCACTATCAGAAGAAGAACTGAAACAACTGAAAGAAAAAGGTTTGGTTGGAATTGTTAAAGAACAACAAGAAGCAGCTGCTGCAAAAATCATTACTAGATCTGATGAAGACAAAAGAAAACTAGCTGAGTCACTTACAGCAAATATAGCTGATCCTGCTGCTAGACAGGCTGAAACAGATCGATTGATAAACAATCCGCTAGAACTTGAGAGAAGATTAGCAGAGTTAACAACGCGAGGAATAACAAATATTATAACAAATCTATCAGGAGAAATAAAAGATATCAAAGAGGAGCAAAAAAGAGTTGGTGAGCTTACTGTAAAGTTTATGGAAGTTGGAGAGAAAAGAAATTTTTTTTATTAAAAAAGCAAATTATGAGAAAGAAGAAAATAGTATGATGATTTTTTAAAGAATGAAAATATTAAAGATATTGATAATATAGAAAAGTGGAATGATGGAGAATATCAAGTATTAATCGATAGATTAAATGAGATAATAAGAGATGGAGCTGCTGCTAAAGAAGAATTAAACACGGTTACAGAGATTGATAATATGATTCCACTTTATGAAAGAATGAGAAACGGTATTATTGCTTCAATATTTGGAAGAACAGCAGAAAATAGTAGAGCAAAACCTTTTGGTAGTGGGTGGAGTTTTAGAAGGAAATTTTTTACTTTTGATAAAATTCGTGTAAAAAAAACAGGAGGTGGAGTTAAAGTTTTTATATCAAACGCAGACATAGTCGATCGGCTAATGCTGTTGATATCCTCTAAAGAAGCTGGTAATGAAAGTGTAGAGATTGATAACGAAATTATTGATATACTTGATCATCTAAGATCGAGTGGATTACTAACATCAGCCGAGTACGAAATTTTACACCGCGATCTTATCTAAAATATTAGTATAATGCAAACAACATTATTGCTTGATTCGTCACAAATAACAGGAAACAGCGCGAATTTTACAGTAAATTACAACCCACCAATAGAACTAGA